TGACGTCGACGGAGGGCGCTGGCGACGCGGTCGACTTAATCGCTGGTAGTAGTAGTAGCCGGTGGTGGTGGTGAGGGCGGTGGTGGTGGTCGTAGTGGCGTGCGTACAGGAGGCGGACGCGCTCGTGTTACCGGTTGTAGGGGAGGTTCGTCAGCGTGTACCGTCGAGTGGAGAGAGGAGAGGAGAGCCGGAGCGGGCCGAGAGAGAGAAAGAGTAACCGGCTACGACGAAACGAAAGGGTGTTTCTGCCGGTTACACGGTTAGTCCGTGAGCGAGCGTTGCCCGGTGTGGTGTCGTGGTTGGTCGTTGACGCGGGCTCGGTCGAAGAGGATTTCCCGGCACGTTTCCGGATCTCGCTGGTGCGTGTGCTCGCGCGCGGAGGAGGGCGGCTCGGGACCGAGAGAGGCGGCAGCAAGAGGGAGAGACGGGGAACGTAGGTGTCGGTGGCGAAGGTTGGTGGCGGTAGCGGTAGAGTGGTGCACGGAAGTGGCGGTGGCGAGTCGTGGTGGACGGTGGATAGTGGCGGTCCGGGTGGATCGGTCGGTTGATCGTGTTCGAGACGGTGACACGGGGGTCGGTAAACGCGTGGTGAAAGATCGGAGCCAGCCAAAGGAGAGGAGAGGAGCAGAGAGGACGACGGATCGGGACCGGAGCGGAGACGCCGAGGATGAGATCGATAAGGAGACGCGGGTTTCACGGAACGGGAACGACGCCGCGCGTGTAGGCACACACGACCGGGTAAACATAGGCGCGTGAAACGCACGCACGCAAGCACGCACGCACGCGCCATCGAGGAGAGGCTTCCTGTCAGAAGTCGGTGATCCCTGGCTGGACACGATCCGGAACGATCGGGGACACTCTCGGTCTCGAGGAGGGCGAGAGAGAGAGGAGAGACCGGAAGAGAGACACGGAGAAGAGAAGGACAGAAGATCCATCGGATCGGAGGAGCCACGGACTCGTCGAGGAAACGGGATCCTCCTCCTCCTCTCTTTCTCTCTCCCCCTCGATCTCTATCCATCTCCACTCGATGGGCTTTGCCGGTGAAAGAAGGTCAAAGATCGATCGTCGAGTACGAGGGTCGTGACCTCACGCACACACGGAGAAAAGCCACGCGTGCAGCACGGCTCTCGACACCGACGAGGTGGATCCTTGCGACGGGAACGGAGGTGGCTCCAGGTGGATCCGAACGATGAAGCCGATCGATCGCCGGGACTCTGGTCGATCGTCGCGTTAGGCGTTGTCGTCGATGCCCGCCGCTCGCCGACGAACGTTCGCGCGTAGAGTAGAAGGATTGGCAGGCCGATTCGTGGCCAAGTGGGAGGATCGGGACTCGTTTCGTCTAAATAAATGGACGATTAGAAGGAGGATCGAGAGGTATCCGGAACGAGGCTGTCCAGGAACGATGAATCCGAAAGTAAATCGAAGAATCGGCCACGGTAGTACACTAGGGAATCGTTAGAGGCGACCAATTTTTCACCGACGCGACACTAGATAATCGTACGAAAGTAGAGACCGAGAAGACTGACCGATCGGACAGGCGTGCCCGTAACTGGTTACCCGTGGAGCAGCGAGCCGGAGACTCGCGAGATCCTCCACGAGAAGGCGGAACAAGCTCGTAGCGACGAAAAGTAAACGCGAACCGGACCCACATAGGGAACATCCCGAGGAAGAATGTCTAGGGACCCGTATTCTAGCGGAAGCGGAGTGGTCGGACCAGGAGGCGGTACCCGTTCGCCCCGA